TGCCCAGAGAGTGTGCTGCATGCCACCTCTGGCACATGTGCTATAGGTTTGCCATCACGGGTATAGAGAGATAATCTGGAGTGAATTTGCAACTTTAGTTTGAAGAGAACATAAGAATGAAATTACTCACGTGATCTCGTACTGAAGACCTAATCTATAGGATTAGCACTTGCATGATGTCTCATGCTAGTTGTTTCATTTTTATACAGGTAGTCCTCAATTTAGGACTGCAATTGGGAATGAAATTTTTGTTGTAAGTTACGACAAAATCAAAGTATCCACTTGACCAGACCTAATTTTACAAATGTTTGTTAACATGGCAATTAAGCAAATCACATGGTCATAAGTGCAAACTCATTTTCCTGAATGGGTGGTTTTTGTGGTCATGTGACTCTGGAAAAGCAATGGTGTGATATTTTACCACAACCACAAGTGCTTTATGTGTCATAAAACAGCCTTTCTGAGGCTATCATAATTCCAAACTGTTATTAAATAACTGGTCATAAATCAAGAACTGCTTGATTTATCTGCTTTGACGGAACAGATACATGCTTTCAGGAAAGGCTTTATCTCTGTTAAAATCTTAGCAACCATTGGTAAGAAAAATTCCTTCTCCTGAGGACATCAGCTGCCTGAGAGAAACCCAATTTAGGTGCCTTTAAAAGAAAACTACAAACACTAGTGGATCAGATGCAGAACAGGGGTATCAAGATGTACCATCTTTAAACGGCTTTAAAGGTCTAGTCCAGAATCATATAGAAAACACCTAAAGTATCCAGAAGACATATATGATCCTTATGTTGTCCTTATACATGTCCCAATGAGATGCATTCCCAGATGCATCTCATTGACAAAAAGTATTGACTGAGGTAGGTCTGATCCGGCAGAGGTTTTTTTCCTTTCTAGAGTTCCATGAAGAGCCATATGGATTGGACTAGGGGTGTCAAACTCAAGGCCCGGGGGCCAGATCCAACCCGTGTGATACTTTGATCTGGCCTGCGGTGCCACTCTGGAAACAGTGAAGGACCAGCCCGTGGTGCTTCTGCTGGTGAAAATGGGCTCCCGAGCTCCGTTTTGGGTGCCATGGCCTCCTGCAACCCTCTGCCAGTGATAACAGAACTCTGTTTTCACTGGCAGAGAGTTGCAGGTTTGCAGGAGGCCATGGCAGCTGAAAACAGAGCTTGGGAGCCCATTTTCGCTGGCAGAGCACTTGGGCCACCACAGGCGCCCCCAACAGGAGTGATGTCAAGCTGGCCACATCTACCCTGGCCATGCCCCGCAGCCTCCCCCCCCAAGGTAAAACACAACCCAGATGCGGCCCTCAATGAAATCGAGTTTGACACCCCTGGTATGGACTTTATGTGATCTGTCATTGAATTTGGTTGATCAGTGGGAAGAAATGGACGCTCTCAGAAAGACAGTCAACATCTGGGCAGGCCATTAATATGAAGAAGTCTGTTTCTTCAACAGATAAAGATCAACTTGTCAAACCACATCCCTGCTGAAAAGATAAAGAACTGAAACATGTTTGTCAACCATTCTTTAAACTATCTGAATCACAAGAAAAAACATTTAAATATGCAGAAATATTTTGATAGGATTGTCTTCTGTATGAAAAATTTGAAAATGAAGCAAATATTAGAAAAAAATCTTGTTCTTGCTAGCATGAACTAAATCCAGTATGATCTTTCCTGCCACTGATCCACACCTTGTGAGAATGTTTCTTCTGGGAATTTCCAAAATTCTTCATACATGCTCTTTGCTTCTGCTGTGTTCTCTCTCCAACATATTGGAGGACAAAAAAATATGTGATTTTCCCTATCATAGGAAGTGCTGTAGGAAGCTAGCACCTACCCCTCTCCTGGAAGAATGAAATATTTTAGGAAATATTAAAAAGGCAGAATTTATTTCCCTGGATGAGAAATGGAGAAATATGTTTTAAAGACAAAGCAGCTCCCACCAGCCTGCCTCCCCCCCACTTTTGTCAATGGGCCAGAGGCAGAAACCCAGCCCCCCCCACCTTGTCAATGAACCATCTGCAACACAATAGGACCCACCTAGTAACAAAAGCTCCCCACATGGCAACTGGGAGATTACATCAGCCAGCAAGGCTAGCTATGACATCTGACAGTAACCAATCAGGATACTCTTCCTGTGCCCCAGAAGTTCAAAGGCAGAGAGGGTATAAAACCCAAAGACTCTCAGCATCTCGGCCCCTTTCTATTCAGGAACTCAAACCATGTGATCCTGTCCACCATTAAACCATCTTTCCAAGCAGTCTCCATGTTTCCAGTGTCTTTTTCCCCACTTGGAACTGAACCCAGAAGGATATTTCTTCCAACAGTGCAAAGGGCTCATTACGATCACTTAACAGTTGCCGTGCCGGACACTGCAACCATCACAAATATGAATCAATTGCCAAGCATCTGAATTTTGATCACATGACCATGGAGGTGCTACAACAATTATAAGTGCGAAGACCACTCATGTCACATTTTTCAATGCCATTGTAACTTTGAATGGTCACTAAATGAGTTGGTATAAGTTGACTATTCAGAGATAATTATTTTAGTAAGTTAGGAACACAGTGCCAAACAAGGCCTCTGGTATTTGTTCTTAACCTTTAATGATAGCCTCTGGGTCATATGACTGTGAGAGCCCTAGAATGAAGCAGTCAGCAATTTTTGAGCCCTTGCCCAACTAACTCTCTCAAAGGGATTTTTTTTTTTCTGGATTTCTTTTTCTTTATGAAATCTCAATCTTTCTTTTCCCACCAAAACTGACACAGCTAATAAACACTTCTCTGATCTCGATTACTTATGGTCAAATGGACTTCACCTCCAACATATGACAGTGATGCATAAGAAATTGTATACTATGCTGCTGGGGGTCAGATGTTGTCAGCTGGAGAAAACACCATTTTCACATCCCAGTCAATTGACTTATATCACAAATAGTCAAGTCTCACTCACAGGCTGGAATCAAAGATGAAAAAACATCATAAGAACATAGTAGGAAAATAGTTGTGGCATGATTCTTCCATGGTTAAGACCACAAGAGGAAAGTTTCTCAAACTCATTGTTTTACACCAGTGTCCTTCAATCTCAGCAACCTAAAGATGTGTGGACTTTAAATCCCAGAATTGAAACTGAAATCCACATATCCTAAATGCTAGTTGAGCAATTTTTGGAGTTGAAATCCACAAAAATTGCTGAGATTATAAAAGACTGGTCCTACACATAGCCTCTGGCATTTATACCCAGCATATCTAGAGGTTGGGGATTTGGAAACAAATGACCACCACATTAGGAATGCTAGCAAGGACTTTAGTATTCTTTCAGTCACTCCTTAGAAACGCATGCCAACGTTTAGCAGCCTCCTCAATTCTAACTTCCTGTAGAATTGAGAAACGCCTCGCCACCCCACGTGGGGAGAGGGGAGAAAAACGCTGGTGACTTGAATGAAAATCGGAATGCAAGCCAGGAATGCATGCCCAGGATAGGAAACTCAAACCATCGCAGGGAAACGTTGCGTAACGATTGTCCTACTCTCATCCCAGATCAAAGACCCTGCTTAGTTAAGCGTCCCGGCTGGTCCACATTGCACCATTCGTCGTCAGCAGCAAAGCAACTTTTAACTGAATTACGTGATTCAACCCGGGCAGCCCCGGTTTCCACGCAAGACTGAGATTTCTCGAATAGTAGCTTGTGTAACAGAAGGGAAAGAGTCGCTCACGTCCCAAGGGTGAGAAAATCTTCCCAGCTTTTGGACAAAAGGGAAGGACTTCAAGAGAGAAGTCCAAAATACGGTTGTGGGGTTGTTGTTGTTTTTGCAAAACTTTGCTCCACTATTCCCGATTCACCCTCCACCACAACCACCCTCGGGTACATGAAGTACTCAGCCGCTTCAAAGTCTCAAGAGGCCCCCCTCCCACTCCAGAGAAGAGCGGGTGCATGTTGAATTGTGCAGAACACCAGATATCCCTCCGCTTCCACCGTGCAACACTTCAACACCAACACACACACACACACACAAATACCGAGGGAAGGGAGAACTATTTTCAGGAAACGAGCTCGTAGCAGACCCCGGGCGGTGGGAATCAATTGAGCGTCCAGGAAGGGAGCGGGGATTAGAGAATTGATTTGGAGTGTCCTTTCCCTTCTAATTTTTGGCCTCTGAAAAGCTACCCCCCCCACACACACACACACTTATGAGAGAATTCTTGCAGTGTCGGCAGGCGGGCAACTCAAGAAGCTCCACGGGAGAGCCTTCGCAAATTGATAATCCGAGATTGTTCGCCGGAGTAGACTCGGGTCTCACAGCTCCTTAAGCTCCTCCCTTTGGAAGTCGGCTCAGGGCCCGATCCGTGCGGGCCTACAAAGCCTCTAGCAAATGGGGGAGGGGGGAAGGGAGCGCCAGTGCCCTCCCTCTGCGCTTAGAGCAGGGCACTTAACTCAAGACCCGTCCACTACCCGAACTAAACGTGCCTGAAATACAGTACTGAGTTTTGCTAGGCGGGAGAGGGCGCAGGTCGCTTTCCCTTCAGGGGTGTTAGTTGCATGTGCTTGGGGAGCAGAAAGGAGCTCTATTCTCCAACCACCACCACCCGCGACGGCTCCCCACTATCAAGTACAGGGGATCGGCTACGGACCGTGCCTGAGCGCTGCTCTGTGGCACTTTTTTTTTGGAGCGAGCGAAGCAGGCCGGAGCTGCCTCTTCCGCCCCCGCCCCCACCGCGGTCTGCAGCCAAGGGCTCGCGCCGCTCCCCGGACAGCGGTGTTCCCCCGTCGGCCCTTTAGCCAAGACCGAGATCGCCTTTGGCCTCCCAGCCTTGGCGGCGGAAGGAGCTTAAAGTCAACGCTTCCGCCCAGTTCTCCCGAAGGAGGGGGCAAGCCAGGCGCTGGGGAAAGCGCCGCGGTTCCTTCTGGGGGTTGGGGCGCCGTTGCTAAAGTTGCTTTCCTTCTGCTCCGGAGAGGGGAAGAGAGTCCTGCTCCTTCGTCCGCTTGGTTTCTTCCTTCTCAACCACCAGCTGCTGGTGACGCATCCGCCCTCCCCTCGTCTCCGGGCTTTAAAATACACCCTCCCCCACTTTTTTTTTTTTCCACCTTCCCTCCTCCCTCCCTCTTCCTCTCGCTCCGGGCTGAATTAGTTCCTCTCCCAGTGTGGCGTCTGCTTGCTCCCAGAGCTCGTTTCTTCTTCTTTTTCTTCTTCTTCTTCTTCTTCTTTTTTTCGCGCGCTCTGCGATTTGGGGCCGCCGGTTCCTGCTTGGGAGTCTGGAGGAATTTCTGTGACTCTCCTTTTTCCTTTCTGGCAGCAAGAGGGAACGGCGGCGAAGGCCAGTGTGCGGATGAAGGACCTGCTGCAGTAGCGGGCAATGTGGGCTCCTGTCCGGGTGCAGCTGCAGCCCCACAAGGACGTTGGTCGGGAGCTGCGCTGCAGCTGAGCGAAAGGCTCCGCTCGTCACCCCCGCCGCGATCGGCGACGGCCACCCTTTTCCAAGCGGGGGAAAAAAAGCAGAAGCTGCGATCGGTGCCGCTGACGGCCCCCTCTCGCCTCCCGCAAAAGCCAGTCTGAGTCTCCGGAGGAAGGCTGCTGTTTTACACACTCACTCACACACACACACACACAAACACACCCCACTCAAGGATTGAGGCCATTCTGGCGGAAGGGTGCGAAGGGGGGCTAGATCTGGGGTTTAACAATGGTGGGGCTTCTGGTGAGCTCCTGCTGCGCCCTGGCCGCGTCGGTGCTGCTCCATCCCGGTTTCGGATCTCGGTGAGGAAAAAATGAACGAAGAGACGGCGAATTCTAACCATGAGTAAGTTGCCTTTCATCTCTACTGTGAATGGGTTTGGTTAAGAGGACCGTCTCTTCCCCTGGTGGCCCCCGTTGCCCTGCAGCTTTTTTCTAGCCGAAATGCCTGTCTTTTGCCTACTTAATTATCTATCGGAAATCTCGTTTTATTCGCTTGCTTTTGGAAAGTCTGGGATATGGCGGGGGGGGGGGAGATGTTTATGCTTATCCCGGATTAGCAATGGCCTATACTCCGCCTCTTGATTAATCTTTTTTTTCTCCCATGTGTATGTTTTATATTTCGAGTAAAGTGTGGGAGCTTCTTCATCCTGTAGGAAACTGGCCCTGAATTTTAATTGGATGAGTCAGTCAGTATAAATATTGTTAAACCTTCCCCTGAAGCTTAATTTTATAATGAGCTGTTAAGACTTTTCCTCCATTAACTAGAAATAGGAATAAAGAGGATGTTGAGCATATTTGCAATAATCGATTTCCAATCGGAAGTAAGCCCCTTTGAGTTCATTCCCAGATGAGCCGTTTTTAGTATTATATAGCATTCAAGGGTTTGCAGAATAGCAGTTTTCAATACATTTGTTGAGAGCCACATCTTTTATATATATGTATATTAAAAAAAATTGGAAAGCAGGCTAGCCTTGTCACAGATCCTGAACTTGGCCAATTCTTTTAAGCAATGAACAATGTTGACATTACCTATGACACCTACCTTTTTAATAGTTACTGTTATTTTAAGGAATGAATATCATTTATTGGATATAGTTCGAATGATGAAAAAGCATTCTTCCGGTAACGATAATTCTCCCCCCTTCCCCAAATGTCTGCGGTATTTAAATGTTAAACATAATTCTTGGGTTTGGGTGGGGAAGGGACACTTGTCACTTGCAGATGCTCTTCCGAATAAAAACAATAATCCTTTTAAGATGTGTCAGTCAGAACCTTCTTCTTTTGTTAATTATGTGCTTTATTCTTAAACTGAAACGACAGGGGATTGAACCTAGACCGCAATATACAAAGTACAAAACATTGTACCCAGCTAGTTGATAAGATGAAGTGTTGCAATACTGCTAGAACTGCGAGGGAAGCAGCCGCCGCCATATTTTCTTTTTTGTGAATTGTTCTAATTTGCATACCACAGTTTTCATTCATAAAAAAATAATTAAACCTTCGCCACGTTTGCCATTGCTGATCCTGCTTGACAGGTTGTGGACTTTTTGTAGAATAGTAGAAAAAGATGATTAATCGGTACAAGTGTTAGGATTCTCTGGTTTTTTGTGTTGAAAAATGCTGCTTCTCTGGTTGTTGACACTGTTATGTGGGAAATATCAGCTCGGGAAGTGCTGAGAGCACGTGATCCACTCCATTCATAAAATACCTGGCTGGCCATTCACAATGCAGTGCACTGTCTACATGGAGCAATTTCCAGATCAAACCTGATCTTTTTTTTTTTTTTTTTTTTTTGAGGAAGATAATACATCTTACTATGTACATCAGCATTACTTTTGCTGCTAATGCATAGAAAGTAGTATGCTTTGAAAATAAAATTTAAGGGAATTTCAGTCAAACAGTAATGTCGCTGGGGGTTGCTGCTCTTTATTTTAAAGTGCAGAATATTCCAGTATATGCTTCACTTTTAAGATATGGCACATCTAGCAGTAGTTATAAATGAGGGACAAATGGTTGCATGAAAGTGGCTTAAAGAGTTGTTAATTAAGAATTAAAATGCTTGACTGCAATTCTGCAGCTCTTGGCTTAAAACAGCTTGTTTTAATTTCAGGAATTTTAATATATTTGGCAATGAAAATTTAATTTAATAAATAGTTCCATTTATGGCGCTCTCAGTTGTCAATGAAGCATTTTCAGTAAGCTGTAATGTTATAAGCATAAATCTTTTGACGAACACTTTAAATTCTGGGATAAAAAAATGATTATAATGTAAAATATGTTGTTGATTTTTTTTTTTTTTGTTAGTGGCACATTTATTCTTCTTTTGTTCTTACAAAATACAGATGTACCATAGCAGAAGAAAATGCTAGAAGATCCTGTTTTGGATGTTGTCCGATTGGATCCCTTCATGTGTCATTAGTTTGTTGGTCATATCCTGAGTTGTTATTCTGCTGATTCTCCAGAATATATTATTAAAAGTGCTATCGGTTGTTAGTTGTTATTCCATCCATACTTAAAAAGACTGCTTTTTCCCCCTGAAATGTGGCAATTAATGATTGTAGTTAATATTAATTCACATAAATTTTGTATTAAAAAGCTCATATTGCACATATCTATATTGTCCGCACTTTGTTATTAAAATACATATCTATTATTAACCAATATTAAATATTCTAGTAGGCACAGTTTAACAGAATTAGGTTCTAATATAATAAAAGTGTATGTGTATGTGCACACATACACACTTCATCCAAAGAATTCGCCATGAATAGCCAGTAATATTTTCCAGTGAGCATATTTTTTATTTTTACTTTACTGGCTATTTATTTATAGTTATACAAGTTTTTTTTTTAAACAACAGAGAACTGCCAGAGCATTTTACTCAGCCAGAGAAAGTATTTTATGGTTGAATAATGCTGCGCGTTATGTGAACAGAATTGACAAATACTTGCTAATTCAAGCTTGCATTGTTTGTTTAAATATCAAGATCATAGCAGTGATTTAAAAAAAAAAACTGCTTGCTTTAAAGGATCATACTACTGGCAGTTTTCGTAGTATTCTGCCATTGGATTCATTAGAAGCTAATATTTTTCATAAACTGCAGATCAACTAAATACTTTTGTTTATGAAGTTAAAATGCGACTATTGATTTTGAATAATTGATGTTGTGAAGGCCATTTTAGGAAAAACATTTTAAATTATAAATCCCTCTTAGCACACCTTTAACTGGTTTCTTTTTAGTTTTCACTTCAAGCTCTCCCAAAGTACCATCCTAATTCATTCAGACTTTATTCCTAAAAAACATTTTATTACCAAAGTATAGTATTCTTAGGTTATGAATGAGAGGGTAAAATTGTAACTGTTCCCCCCTATTCTTTCAGCAAAAATCCTGAAACTTACTGTTTTGTTTTCTTGTTCTCACATAAACCTGATTGTGTACTGTTAATCATAATACAATTGACAATTAGTGAAAGGACAGATCTTGCACTCATTTTGATCGAGTTTGCTCTCTGACTTTGCAATGTGTCAGACAGTCTGACTTTATTATTAAGGGTCCGATATGCTTTGTTAATGTTACTTGGTGAAGATTTGGCTCAGAATCACGCAAGGGTCTGAGGGTAAATGAAAGAACTTAAATATCTTAAAATGAAGACAGTTATTTGAATTGCTGTTGTAGGTTAGAACTAATGTAGCTTTGCCAGCTGCACCTCTGGGTTGATGGCCTACATATATGCTTCTTGATTTTACGATCCAGCTATTATTATGACATGACTTTCAAGAAATATTTATTGTACATTTACAGAAGAACTAAAATGTTGATATTGCAGACATTTCATTGATAATGAAATTTAATCAACATTAACATTTTGTGTGTTCGCCTGTATGAAGTTTTAGATTTCAAATATAAAGATCTGCGTACTTAATAAAGTTCTTCCAATAATAAATAGCAGCATATGAATAAATCACATTTAATATATCAGTACACCTTTTTTTTTAATTTGATTTATGCCGCCCTTCTCTGGAAACTCAGGGCGGCTTACAATGCGTTAAGCATTTTTTGTGATATAGACAAATGAAAAGTTCTATAATGGCAGTAAACACTCACACATGTATCCATATTGACTATTAATTTGCATTATATGGGGAGAGAATTTACTTAACTCTGTATATTTATTTATTTATAAAAATTGATTGGCCGCCCATCTTACCATAGGGTAATTCTGGGCAGCTTACAGTCTATACATATTCATTTTAAAAAATCAAACATTAAAAATTAAGGACATATATAAGCCTAATATATAAGGAAAACACAATCTTATGGTATGTATTGTTAATGCAGCTATTGCAAGATATCTTCAGAAAAAAGGTTTAATAAGTTACAAAAAGGACATTTGCAATGAAAAGAACATGAAAATTAGAAAGGAGGAAAGGTAAAAGATAAGTAGCACTAAAATCAGTATAAGCCAAAGGAAAAAAAAAAATAGAAAAAAAAATGATCTGTTAGCTTGAAGTAAGAAAATTGAGGCTATAAATTGTGGGTTATAAATAGCATCAATATATGTCATTTCATGTAGTAATTATTGTAAGGGAACATTTATATTAGATGTGATAAATTTTAAAATTTCAACATCTTTGTAAATATTTAATTGGAATAAATCCTGATGAAGTTAGCACTGTGTTGTAAACATTTTTGCATCTGAAGAACACATAAATACACACAATTTTTAAGAATATTTGGTATTTATAAATTTGGCATTCAAAGCAGAGTTCAGCTGCAGGATGAAAACAATGACATTCCTACCTAAACCCCATTTATTTTTACTATTTTTTATTTGAAATGTGCTTTCCTTGCATTATAGTAGCTCTCAAAACCCCTCAAGACCTTACATGGGATCATTTTTTTCTGATATTAATAAGAGTCTTATGAATACCTTCTATAAAGGTATAAAATAGGAAATAGTAACTTAACCACATTTAAATATTTCTTCTTTTTTAAAATGGAAAACAGTAGCTAGAGTGGTGACCTAGCCCAGTATGGTTTCAATTGCTGTGGGAGATGCAATTCCAAATATCTCTTAACAACACTGAATATTGTAATATTTACTTTTGAATATTGATAGGACTGTGCATTAAATCTGCAGTTTTATTTAAATTTGTAGTACAGGTAGTCCTCCAGTTATGACCACAATTGAGCCCAAAATTTATGTTGCTAAGTGAAACATTTCTTAAGTGAGTTTGCTCCATTTTATGACTTTTCTTGTTAAGTGAATCATTGCATATGTTAAGTTAATAACATGGTTGTTAAGTGAATCTGGATTCCCCATTGCTTGTCAGAAGGTTGCA